GTCTCCTACAGGGTTAGGGGTAGGAGACGTTAATTTTCCACGCACGAGATTACCATGTGATGGGTGTCCTCCCCTGGGGTGGGATGGGTGGGATTTATTGGGTGGACTACTCGCATGGTTCGCATATGTTCCGTTCTAGTCCTGCCCTACTGCGATAATGCAGTGAAATTGTTTAGAAAAAAAAACCAAAATTATTGAAACGGATTTTAGATGAGACGTCTGAAGTTTCTAGCGTAGCTCGTTGTGTAGTTCGAATATCGTGATTAGAAGTAAATTGTATCACATTTCTTTTAGGTTGCAGTGTTATTACGGGCAGATCAGCTCAGGGAAGTAGTGACACGCATCCAGGATAGTGCGTTAGCTAAAAAGTCCCCAGACTTTAAGGTTGTTTGTCACGCAATCCTCTCAAACTTGTCACGGTTAGTTACCAGTGTAATGGTGGTATGATGTTTGTTGGCAGAGACTGAAGGTTATAAATTTAAGGCTATAGAATGGACATTGCCATTATATACGTATGCGATCGAACTTTATGGCATTATTCTTAATCCTCTTGTTAGATTCTCAACATCTTATCGCTGTATTCATCGACTTAGATGTAAAATTAAAAAAATTTATGTTATGTTGTTTCCCAGGTCGTCTACTGAAGAAGAAACAAACCTAAAAAACTCGAGAAGAAAACGAGAAGCAAATGGCCACATAAAAGATGAAACCACAACCAAAGATGGTGGGGCTGAATCTAGTTCGACAGAAAAAGAAGTAAAGAAGAAACGAAAGAAGAAAAAGATATTGAGGGGTTATAGAACATTGAGGCAGCGATTAATTGTCAATACATTGTATTTTATTTTACGATTGAAAAAAGAAAACAGCCAAGAATATTTGAACTGAAATGGTTAGCTTGGTTGAAAGTGTCACCAATTCCACTGTTAAAAGCCAGCCTGTGAATGAATAAGGAAAAATCTCTGTTTGTCAACTTAAACTGCAAAAGGCATTATACCGTGTATAGGTTTCCTTTCAATCTCACGCTCTTACAAGTCCAAGTATATTTAATAAAATTTTCAACGTTATTTTATTTGTGATGGGAAGAAATTTCTGTTCACAATTACCGAAACATTTCTCCGTCCACACGAGGAATCGAGACTCGCACATTTAGATTCCCGCGCATCGATGCTCCAGCGATCACCGCGCTGCAGAGAAGTTTATTTATGGAGAACAGTAAGCTTTCAATATTGCTGATCCCAGAAGTGACCAGTGGGTGTGTCACATATGAACTTGTACAATAGCTTACGTCACCCTAGACTTCCTTCCCCCCCACCACCCTTCCCTCGACCACAAAAAAATCCTCGTGAATATTCGAGAATTTTCAAACATGTTCCAAAACCTACTGAAATTAAACAGGCTTCAAACTTCTCCAAACAACGATTGTTATTCCAGTTTATTCTCGCTTATTTCAATATTTTTAAAGCCAACACGAAAGATTTAGCTATGATTTAAGATTTATATAAAACACAAACATTTACGAATGTTGATGTAATTGGAAGTTGGCAGTGAAGATATGACTTCCCTTAAAAAAGTTTGAACAGAAAGATATCGGTAAATTCACCGACGGAACAATAATTAAAGTGGTAAATGAATAAGAGAATAAATAAATGAAGGAATNAGTGTCACCTATTCCACTGTTAAAAGCCAGCCTGTGAATGAATAAGGAAAAATCTCTGTTTGTCAACTTAAACTGCAAAAGGCATTATACCGTGTATAGGTTTCCTTTCAATCTCACACTCTTACAAGTCCAAGTATATTTAATAAAATTTTCAACGTTATTTTATTTGTGATGGGAAGAAATTTCTGTTCACAATTACCGAAACATTTCTCCGTCCACACGAGGAATCGAGACTCGCACATTTAGATTCCCGCGCATCGATGCTCCAGCGATCACCGCGCTGCAGAGAAGTTTATTTATGGAGAACAGTAAGCTTTCAATATTGCTGATCCCAGAAGTGACCAGTGGGTGTGTCACATATGAACTTGTACAATAGCTTACGTCACCCTAGACTTCCTTCCCCCCCACCACCCTTCCCTCGACCACAAAAAAATCCTCGTGAATATTCGAGAATTTTCAAACATGTTCCAAAACCTACTGAAATTAAACAGGCTTCAAACTTCTCCAAACAACGATTGTTATTCCAGTTTATTCTCGCTTATTTCAATATTTTTAAAGCCAACACGAAAGAATTGGCTATGATTTAAGATTTATATAAAACACAAACATTTACGAATGTTGATGTAATTGGAAGTTGGCAGTGAAGATATGACTTCCCTTAAAAAAGTTTGAACAGAAAGATATCGGTAAATTCACCGACGGAACAATAATTAAAGTGGTAAATGAATAAGAGAATAAATAAATGAAGGAATTAGCTAGAGAAGTTGATGAATGAAAATGGCGCTTTGAAAGTCACAACCGTTAGCATATCACCGTCACTTCCAACCCTTCATGGTTCAGTGGCTGCAAAGCAGAGTACTTTCCGTACCATTCTTGTAACATGTTCACGAATCTCCCGATATCGCCAGCAGTAGACAAAAGGATTTAATGAAGAGTTCAGTAGCATCAAGAAAAACGAAACATGGTTCGCGAGTGTAAATGACGTTTTGAGGTTATCTGTTGTTAAAATAGTTAAAGTACAAACATAGGGAAAATAGCAAACGAGGTAAACGATATAGACGTACAAAGTATTGATGGCTGACTTTGCTTCTCGGAGAAACATCACTGAATTAACTTCTGGCTGACTTCCCAGAGCCTGTAATTGAGCCCGATGATACATCACAACTCTGTAAATGCGTATGTACGCCGCAGTTGTAACGAAAATCCCAATAAATCCGACAACAATGATAACAACAGTATTTTTGTCAGGGAGAACAACAAATATGAAAGGCATGACAGCACTTGCCAACCAGAACGAAACCAAAGCCAAAATAACCCGTTTTGTGGTAACAAGCTCCTGATATCGAAGGTGGAGATAAATAGCAAGAAGTCTATCGACTGCAATGCCGGATATTGTCAAAAACGACGCACAAACCAGGAAAAATAACCAGGAATAACGTACGTTTGAAATCGCTGGACAAAGGAAGCTGAAGTCATAGTTCTCGTCTTCCGCCATCTTTAACATAATTGCGTTGATGACACCGAACATCAGTTGAGCCATCAACCCGACAGCAACATCAGAGACAGCGAGACTCAAGAATAATTTCTTTAAATTGGCTGGAATCAATGATGATTTCCACAAAGCGCAGATAACTAAGAAATTCCCAAGAACTGCCACAAGAGGAAATAGTAAATTTAAAATACAAAAAGTCAACATAAATTTCCCATTATGACGGATAAGTTTTCTGTATTCTTCAACTTTCTGAACGCACAACTCGGTAGCCATGATGATAGTGAGTACGAAACGAAAATTTCTTAAAATGAAAACAAACAAAAAAAAGCGGAATATGCACGTATCTTTTTGTTCTCCGTCTGTGAGGTACTCCCGCTTGACAACAAGTAACAATCACGGTAAGTCAATAAGTAAAAACAATTCCAAAATTTCAATATCACTATTTGTTTTCCATCCATCAATGGTATATGTTTTTCATTTATCAATGGTACACATGTAGGCAGCTTGCAGGTGAGAAGAGCGTTTGCAAATGCAAATGATCGGTCACGAAAAACACAATTATCTGAGGTACGGACATTAATGACTGTTTACCTACTCTACTTATTTTATCTCATGATAATTTCACTTTTAACTGCTTTAAACTGTCATTTTACGTACTAACTTGGCAGGTTATCATATCTGTGACTGTCTGTATGTTCAATTCTGTAGAGAACCAATCAAATTCCAGCCAATATGATTTGGATATATCAACAAAGTTGAATTCCAGCCAATGATGATCTTAGTCCGGCAAATGTCGTCATTGTATGATGGCAGACTGTCGATGGCTTATTGTCGTAAGTGTGTCTTAGCGGGAGCTGAGAAATAAGGCTCAAAGCTGTCTTGAGAAACAGTTTGGAATTAATTACCTACAACATTAAACATGCCTCGCAATAGCATGCAAATTGTTGATGATGAAATAGATATCGGTTGTATATTCAAATAAAGTTATACCGTCCTCTTTAATCAATCGACTTCGTACAGTCTCTCCTTTTTGGTGGATTAAAAAGAAATCAGCGAAGAGAAAAAATGATATTAAAGCTCCACGCAGAACTCCGGAACTTTTCATGTGCCACACTCATAGAGTTCCGAGTAGGCTTAGCCACAAGTTGCTCGGTAACTTTTCAGATTTTCGGCAATTTTTTTAGGAAAATGCAATTCTAATCCAGTTTCAAGGGAATCTAACTTTGGTAACCTGCGTTTTGAACTTGACATTTTCGATTACTGCAACAGTTGGAAACCTTCTTGTTATTCACGCTCTGCGGAAAGCCTCTACGATACCTGTTAATTTAAAGATGCTTTTCCTTAATATGGCGATCTCTGACCTTGCCGTTGGGTTGATAGCGCAGCTGATGTTTGGCGTTATCATAGCCGTAATGCTAGATCTGTCAGCCAGTGGGAGCAACAACTTTGAATTTTTTTGTCCAACGATTTTCTCTGTGTCTTATTTCTTTATTTTTCTCCTCACTTGTGCATCATTTCTCACAGTTACCTTCATTGCCGTTGACAGGATTTTAGCCATCTTTCTCCATCTTCGGTATCAAGAACTTGTTACCTCCAAGTGTGTTGCTGTTGTGTTAGCACTTTTATGGCTGTCAAGTCTTCTGGCGGCCTTTGTATATATCTATTTTCCTAACCAAAATAACATCGTGCTTGTGACAGTTGAATTCATAGGACTCCTTGTAACAACCTCAGGGTATATCCGTATTTACAAAGTTGTGAAGCATCATCGGAATCAAATCCAGAGGCTGAGGCAACAGCAAAATAATCAAGAAATCCAGGCTCTTCGACAAAGGAAGTCGACCACTAGCGCCCTGTTTGTTTACATATTTTTTCTAGTCTGTTTTCTCCCAAATCTTATCTGTGTTATTCTGCTATGAGCAAGTAATTTCCGTTTATCGTTTGTGGCCGCTAATCATGTCTCGGGATTTCTTGTGCTTCTAAATTCCTCGTTGAATCCTATAGTTTATTGCTGGAGATATCAAGAGATTCGTGAAATCGTAAGATCTTCACTCAAAAAGGGAATCGCTTGGTTGAATCCGCTGTAAGATGGAAGGCGACTATTTCTTAAAGGAAAAACGCTGAGACAACTGATTGTGATCGATGTTAAAATGCGGCTGACTTTTATGCATGGGAGAGATCGAGAGATCATTTGTTTATATACTCATAAATATTATGTCCTAGTACTTGCTTTTCTAGCTATTAACTAAGTAGGTATCTGGGATATTTGCTGTGAAACAAGAAGGGAAAATATTTAAAATAAAAATTTTTTTTTTTTCTCGTTTTACTTCCAAACGAACAAACGACTGAATCAAGCAAAGGACAAATTGCTAATGGGTCACGTGTACGCCGAGCAAGTTTGTGACTGTAACACTCATAGTGTGTGTATTTTGTACAGCTGTTAAAACCTTTTTTTCTACAGAAGACGCGGTTTTCCTGAACATCTATGTCAAATAAAACAAGAGCTTTACTATGTCATTTTAAGCCTTGGAATTAAAAGCAAACAGGTCAGGTAGAAAGACAGCCGAAGCCCTACTGATTTCCTTTCACCAAAACAACAGATTGTGTGTGCGTTGTGTATGGGACGATAAAATATTAGAAGGTTACGGAGAAAATGCCAAATTTTTCTTTAACTAAATTTTTTGTTGTTCGATTTTGATGCCTTGAACAATAGATGTATATAGTTGATTTTAAGTCTCCTTAAAGTGCCCCTGAGACTAAAATTAACCATTTTATTTAAGCCTAAATTGTTTACACAATGTTGAATTGGGTCAAGTTAAGCCATTAAAAACTCAAAACAAACCTTCGATGACCAATTTTTACCGCTTCAAAGTCGTCCAAAAATCGTCCGCCATTGCTGAAAGAAATGTCCCAGCCGAGTCCACAAAAACGTCATTATGACGTCAAAGTCTCAACAAACTTATGGTTTGCTTTGTCACATCACTCTTTCTTCGCTGCACAGAGAATCACACATATTACTTTTTTGAGAACTGCTTCGTTGTCAGTGGGGAAATGTCGACTTTCTCAGACGATGAATTGTCCCAGAAATCATCTGAAGCTTCTGTGGATAGTTTTGCGCCGACAAACGAGGAATTTTTGCTATGCGAATAAAGATAAACACAGAACGGCACGGACTCCACATGTGGCATTTGTGGTCGCATCGCTTTATCGCCTTCGAACTGTATTTTTGCTTGTCGTAAGGGATTTTCCTTTTTTGTGAGAAATGATCGGGTGATTGCTTAAAATAGTTTTCGGCAATGGCTAATTGTGTATCCGTAGGCGGATATTCGGAGTTTTTGAACTGAAGTCATTTCTAAGCAATCAATGTGTTTTCCCCGATGCATTTGGTCAATGATCTCATAAACCCTTTCCCACGTGTTTTTTACTATCGGTGCTTTGAGGTTTGAAGTGAGCTCTGTTGTTGAGTTGCACTTTGGCCTCTTTTGTTTTTTCTATATTATTCATGATGACTATTGTTGTGTTGCTTCGGTGAGGTTTAAGGCAGAGTTTGTTTCAACTCTTTAAGAGCCGTAACATCATTGTATTTTTTGGCTTAGATGCAGTCTGCTAGTAGCGTTAGGACAATTTTCCGAGTAGCTCTGAAGGGCGATAGAAGACTGAACCGGTGGCATTCAGTTTGATATGAAACAGAAGTCAGAAGAAATCTCGCAAAAGTTGGCCTGATTTTAAATTTGTTTGTCACGGGCGTTGGGATGAATTTGAGACCAATTGATAGCACGCTGACTTGGCTGTCAGATGGTTGATAGTTTGACAGGTTTTTAAAGAAATTTTCATTTTCTCGGATTTTGGCTGCAAGCCTACATTTAAAGTTTTTTTACGCTCTGTGTCTTAAGCTGTTTGTTTTGCTTTCGCTGATATTAAAGCCAGCTTTTTTTAGAATCAGAGCACAATTATATTTTTCATCTCTTTTGTATAAAAGTGAGCTCTTTGAGGTCAGAAATCTC